GGGTTGCACCCGCCAGGGGGGTTGCGCCCCAGGGGGGTTGCACCCGCCAGGGGGGTTGCACCCGCCAGGGGGGTTGCACCCGCCAGGGGGGTTGCGCCCGCCAGGGGGGTTGCACCCGCCAGGGGGGTTGCACCCGCCAGGGGGGTTGCGCCCGCCAGGGGGGTTGCACCCGCCAGGGGGGTTGCGCCCGCGCCCGCCAGGGGGGTGCGCCCGCCAGGGGGGTGCGCCCGCCAGGGGGGTTGCACCCGCCAGGGGGGTTGCACCCGCCAGGGGGGTTGCGCCCGCCAGGGGGGTTGCACCCGCCATGGGGGTCGCGCCCGCCAGGGGGGTCGCGCCCGCCAGGGGGCTCGCACCCGCGAGGGGGGTCGAAGTCGCTGTCGCTGTCGCCGCCGCCGCCGCCGCCGTCGCCGCCGCCGTCGCCGTCGCCGTCGCGGGTCGCCAGGGGGGTCGCCAGGGGGGCTGCCAGGAGGGTCGCCAGGGGCCCCCCCGGGGCTCCCCCGCGGCCCCCCGACGACGACGGCGACGACGACGACGACGACGGACGCTTGCCGACGCCCGCGCCCGCCGACGCCGCCGCCGTCGAGGAGGAGGAGGAAGCGGAGGAGGAGGAGGAGGAGGAGGAGGAGGAGGAGGAGGAGGAGGAGGAGGAAGGAGGAAGAGGAGGAGGGGTCGCGGGAATCTTCGGGAGGTTCTGGGGTCATCGGGGTCCCGGAGTCCTGGGGGTCATCGGGGTCCTGGGGTCCGGACCAGAGGGGAAAGGGGTTCGGTTCGGTTCCCGTCGGTTCGGTTCAGGGGCCGCCCGGTTCCGGTTCGGTTCCGGTTCTGGTTCGGTTCGGTCCTCGCCGGTTCGGTTCTGAATGAATTCGGTTCGGTCCGGTTCGGTTTTCTACGTTCCTGGTTTTGGACCGGTTCGATCCGGTTCGGTCACGGTTCCCGGTTCTCGGTTCGGTGCGGTCCCTTCATGCAAGACGGCCAAAGAGGCCCCCAAAACGGCCCGAGAGGGCCCCAAGACAACCCCAAGAAGGCCCCAGGATGCCCCAAGAGGCCCCCAAGAGGCCCCCAAGAGGCTTCCAAGAGGTGCCTAAGAGGCCCCAAAGAGGCCCCAAGAGGCAAGGCGGCAGAGAGTCGGCGAAGGCAGTTTCCATACCATGCCCGGCCCGGCGCATTGGAGGGGGATGGGGAGGACGAGGAGGGGGAGGGGGGGGACGGGGATGAGGAGGAGAAGGAGGAGAAGGAGGAGGAGGAGGGGGAGGAGGAGGAGGAGGAGGGGGAGAAGGAGGAGAAGGAGGAGGAGAGGAGGAGGAGGAGGAGGAGGAGGAGGAGGAGTGGGAGGAGGAGGGCGATGAGGAGGAGGAGGAGGAGGAGGAGGAGGAGGAGGAGGAGGAGGAGTTTGAGCAAGTGGAAGAAGGAAGGATTCAGAAGGAAGGAGGAAACGGTGGAGCGGGGATGAGCCTCTTCATTTGAGATGTTGAGGCGTTCGGGTTCGATTTCTGGGCTCGGGTCTTCGGTCTCAAGGTTCGGGTCTAAGGGTGAGGGTGTCATGGAAAGATTGTTCGGGTTTGAGTGCTCTCGTGGATCTTCTTGGGAGCCTCATGGGCCCTCTTGGGGCCATTTTGGGCCGTCTTGAGGCCGTCTTGGGCTGTCTTGGGGCCATCGTCGGCCATCTTGAGGCCCTCTTGGAGTCCCAAGAGGCCCAAGAGGCCGAAATTGTTGATTTTCCATAGGTCTTTCTATGTTTTGAGGCCCAGAATGAGGCCCTCCAGATTTGGTCCGACGATGTGGCGCGGCTCCAAGGGGGGGGGGGGCATAATATTGCAGAACAATACAATATGTAGCATATGTAACAAGTATGCAATCGTTGGATACACTGGACACGTTGCATTAAAGCATCCGCGGACCTGCCTCTGGCAACACGTCATTTTCGGACGTAGATTTCCCGCGAATCGCCACGGAATCGGACCCGTGCTTGCGAACACCGTTTTCGGAGCAAACTAGAACCTAAGCGCGCGCGAAGCGCGCGCGTGGTTCTAGTGTATATATATTATATATATATATATATATATATATATATATATATATATATATATATATATATATATATATATATATATAAGAGAGCTGCCTGCATACCAAGCCTGGCCCAGATATGCAAGGAAATGTACTGTGCGTAGCCCAATAGCCGTGTCACCGATGCCCGTGACTCCCTCCGTCTTCTTTGGCCAGGAGATGCCTTGACTCGTATGCCAGTGAGTTGGTGTTCGGCCAGTTTTGCGTATTCTGGCGAATCCATCCTCTATCCCGCGCCTGAAGAGCGGTGCCTCTCTTATTTGCAAAGCGAGTCCTAGGCCTCGCCCTGCATGTGCCGCATCCTCAGGTAGTTGTGGACCACCGCCCATGAGTAGCGTGATAAGCTCGAGAGGGGCAGCCCACGGGGGGACTGCGCGTCGCTTTGTTGCTCGTCCGAGATGCCTGCGAACTCTGTTGAGATCTTCTCTCGCTGCTTTGCGATGTGCCTCATCTAAGTCTGTCATCGTCGTCATGTCATTGCGCAGAGCTCTCCATTCATGCCAATCTTGCAGAAGTTGCGTACCCATGCCGCCTTGCTGTCCAGGTAAGCTCCATTGTTGCATCCATTGTGAGCTGCTCAATCCAGCTGTGCGTATTGCCAAGTGATGTCTCCATTTTGTGCCGAACTTCGTACTTGCAGCTCTCCGTGATAGTCGATGTACCTCAGCGTGTTGTCGGTTGCCCCACGCTTCCCACAAAGAGTCCAGCGTGCGCTCCTGAAATCGAAGCCGCTCCCGATGTCTGTACTCCTTCATCCGTTGCGAGAGTGCCTTCAGCTCAGCCTCCAGTTCATCCTTGTCCTGTTCATTTATGTCCGTGTCGAACTGCGCTCGCTTATTCATCCGATGCTTGGGTAAAAATTCTCGCCGCTCCTTTCGCTTCTGATACTCAGGGTCGTCATAGTGAGACTGGCGTGTGAACAGCTCTTCTCCCACGGTTATCATCAAAGGGTTCCAACAACTCGAACAGCGGGTCGGGGGACGCCTGATAGATGAGCATGATGACATCGTCCGCGTGCTGCTCAAGATGCTGCTCTATCTGCGTTATGAACTGTTGGCCAGCCTCACTGCCTGAGATGGAATAGGCCTGCATCAATTTGTCGCGGTCCCATCGCACATCGTTGGTAGCATGTAGTGCGCGTGCGCTTGGCAACCCAAACTCAACGTGTAGCGGGACATGGTCTCTCCGAAATTTATTTGGAATTCTGTGAAAGTGTCTGCCCAGTCGGGGGAGTGTGCCACTGGTATGTGTCATCTGTGAGAGCGTCTGGGGTATAGCCATGTAGTCCACAATCGATGAGACGCCGTCATTTCCATACCATGTGGCCGTGTCAACCCCAGTCGTGAGCGCATATAGAAAGTTTATCTCCATGAGCTCGCGGAATAAGTTGCCTGCTGCGTGTTCGCGGCGTGCACCAGCGGGAAGGACTGCTGCTGTCTCCACAAAGTATTCGCCGCCAAGTGCCGCGTCGTAATCTTTGCCATGTCCGTCATTCAAATCCAAATCCACTCCGATAATGGGAACGCTGCGGGACGGTGTCGAGCTACTAACGTGATCAAGCCAGTCCGTCAATGCGGTAACCGTTTTGTCATAATTTGCATCGCCTTCACTGATGTGGGCCGTGGTGGGTAATATGTTCTTATCACCGTGAAGTCCCACGAGCTCGATGATTCACGAAAGGGCCATCCCCCGTCCAGCAAGATGGGCTGGTGGAACTTGTACTTTGCGCAAATGTTTCTGTCGTACCTTGGCCCCGAAGGAAATGATAATGCCCGTGGACTTGTTAGTCATGGAGCCCGCAGGCCAGCCTGCATCAATTCGCCATCGATTGCCGCTGCTTGAGATTGATTGCTCCATTCTCTCTTTGGTTCTCCGTTGTGTGCCCACGGGCGTGATCGCATCAAAAGTCGAACATTCTAATTGAATCTCTTCATCACGATCCCCCGCTGTGGCCGCGAGGGGGTTGTAGTGCATCATGCGCCAGGCGTGCGACTGCGGCCGCACCAGGTCATGTGCCTTCTCTCCGCGTATGGAAGATAGCGCCGCCAGCAATCCGCCAGCCGCCCTCATCAGGCAGCGGCCGTTCAGGGCCTGATCAACTGCGCGTGTCTGCAGGACGAGGGGGTGCTCCGATGGAACGGCGCCTTTCGCCAAACCTGCGCTCGTGCCATATGGGCGACTATTATCATCATCATCATCATCATCATCATCATCATCATCATCATCATCATCATCATCATCATCATCATCACCACCACCATCATCATAGTTTCTCGTCTTCGCCACCATCCGCATCCTCACCAACATCCTCGTCCTCATCCTCCTGGTCCCAATCCTCATCATAGCACCCTCACTCGTTTCGTCCTTCTCCCGCTGATCGTCTGGAGCCTCCCTGCCTCCCGCCCCTCCTCCTCCCTAACCCCTCCCCCTCAATCCCCCTCCTCCCCCATCCTCCCTCCTCCCCCCTATCCCCCTCCATGCAAAGCTGACTGCGTCGATCACCGCCGATTGGCTTCGACTCAGCTTTGCCCTATGACGGGGCGGGGGGGGGGGGGCCGCGCACAGCTTTGCATTGAGGGGGGGAGGGGGGATGCACGACGCACGCGCGCACCTTCGAAGCGCGGGGGGCCCATACAACGGCGGACAGGAACCGAACCGAAGAGATGACGGAATGTGCGTACTAATGATTACGATGATGATATAGACGGCCAGTCTTTCAAGCGCCCCCAACAAAACGCAGCGACGGGCATCTGGACATGTCCGTTCCCAGGTGGTGTTCGTTATTTTCAACAACACCGGAGGAGGAGGAGAAGGAGGAGGAGGAGGAGGAGGAGGAGGGGGAGGAGGAGCAGGAGGAGGAGCAGGAGGACCTCCCCATCTTCCCTGCTCCCCCGTCCTACCTGTGGTAGTGGTGGTGGAAAACTGGCCCATCAGAGGACCCGCTCGTGGTCGTGTACCACTACGCCTCGGGCGCGGGGCTCGCACTGCTGGCGGCGCCTGGCGGCGAGAGCGCGCGCGAGCCGGAGCTCCTCCGGCAGCTGGAAGACGGCGAGCACCAGTTCGGGCGCGGCGTGCAGGTCTTCAAGAAGGCGCCCGACGGCTGGCCCAGCAAGAAGAGGATGCTGCTGGAGCTGAACTGGCCGAGGGTCGGCGATCCCGACCGGCCCGACATGGCGGACGAGGCGCGCGTCCTCGCGAGGGAGGGGGACTCCAGAGCGCCGCCGGACGATCCGCAGAATGCGAACGTTTGCGCGGCGATCCTCAGGAATCCCAGGGTGGCCCAGAAGGTATACTGTGTGCCCGTGATCGCGCCGAGTTCAATGGTGTGGGACATCTGGGAACGTCGACTGCCAGACCTGGTGGCAGCAGCCCCGCCAGGCTGCAACAGATTTGGCGACCAGCAGTGGGACGGGCGCGAGCTGTACGTGCTCCGCGTGACTCCAGAGGGCCGCCAAGAGGCGTCGCTGCTGGGCTACGACGCCAAGATCAGGGCCCTCGAGCGACGGCTGCAGCTGCTGCAGCAGGGGCACAGACAGCCGGACGAGTCGGCCCTGGCCTGCACCAGCTACCTGGCCAGGATGTGGCAGGCCATGGGGCGGCTCAGCGAGGCGGAGAAGCTGTTCCGGCGGACCCTGGAGGGCAGAGAGGCTCCGGGATCCCCAAACGGTGCGGTGATGCGGTGACCTCCCCGTGCAGTGGGTCAGCGGGGATCCGGGGTCGCCGCACGCGTTCGGGACTTGGGGTCGTTCTCCGAGGATGTCTCGCGGCGGCCGGGGCCGCCGCAGTCCCAGCGCGGTGCGGTGACAGGCCGTGCGGGGCGAGGCCGCCGCGCGGTCCGTCGCCGCACCGCCCGCGGGGCCCCGAAGAGGCCCTCCACGGCCCCCGCGGCGCGCAGACGCTGGCGGCCAGGGCCGCGCTCGACGAGTGCCTCCGGGCGCAGGAGGGCCCGGCCGAGACGGAGCAGCGGCTCCGTGCCCTGGTGGCGGCGAAGGAGGCGGCGCTCGGGGAGCTGGACCTCGGCACCGTGGACGCCGTCGACGACCTCGCCGGCTTCCTCCTCCGGTCGGGGCGCTTCGGGGAGGCTGCGGGGTGCTTCAGGCTCGGGGGAGGAGGAGGGTGCCGGGTGCCGCTGCTCGTCCTCGAGGGCCCTCGTCGCCGCGGCAGGGCTCTCCTCGAGGCTCCGAGCGCTTCGCGTGCCCCCAGCAGCCCACCCGGGCGCGATGCCCAGCGGATCTGCCCTGATCCGGGGAGCGTGGCGCGGTTTGGAAGTTTCGGGGGGCCTCCTCCGTGGGCTGGAGGTTTCTGGGAGGCTCTCGGGATGCCTCTTGGGGGCCGTCTTGGGGAGCTGTTGGGGCGTCCTGGGTGGCTACGGGTTGACCTTGGGGGCCTCTGGGGGGCCGCTCGGGGGCCGCTCGGGGGCCTCTTGGGGGCTTCTTGGGGGCTTCTTCTGGCCTCCTGTACGCCTCTTGGGGCGCTCTTGGGACTCCCATGGGGGATCGTCGGGCCGTCTTGGGGCCATCTTGGAGGCGATCGACCCCAAAAGAGGGAGCCCCGATTATCCGCGCCCCCCCAGGATGCCCCAAGTGGCCCCGAACCACGTAACAAGTGAACGTGTTTTGCCTTTCCGCCGAGCTCTTCTTGGGCGCTCTAACCCCTCGGGGAGCGCGGGCGTGTAGAACTTCGTGCGTCGTTTTCCGATCCCGCGGCGGGCGCGGAGAACTCCGCTAAATGGTCCAAGCCCGCGAACTTTTATCCGTAAGGGCTTCGCCCCCTGCCGCCGGCCCCCTCTCTCGGAGAATGGGCCATGGAAGAGCTAAGTCATGAGGCCTTGGCGCTGTCGCGAAGCAGTATCGAAACTTCATGCGAAGCCGATTCGCAATCAGCAAAACCAACTGATCACAAGAGGGGTTACCACACCTGGCGATTGGTAAGACGTGTATGGTTTACGGGCTTGGTTACCACACCTTGCGATTAAAGGGCCGAGGGAGTTCTCGCAGTTTGGGTTACCACGCCTTGCGATGGATGTGCGTGAAGGGTGGCACCGAATTTCAGAAATGTGCCAAATCCCCTGTGTTTTTGGACCCTGACCCCGCGGATCTGCGTGAGGGGTGGCACCGAATTTCAGAAATGTGGCAAATCCCCTGTGTTTTTGGACCCTGACCCCGCGGATCTGCGTGAGGGGTGGCACCGAATTTCAGAAATGTGGCAAATCCCCTGTGTTTTTGGACCCTGACCCCGCGGATCTGCGTGAGGGGTGGCACCGAATTTCAGAAATGTGGCAAATCCCATGTGTTTTTGGACCCTGACCCCGCGGATCTGCGTGAGGGGTGGCACCGAATTTCAGAAATGTGGCAAATCCCTGTGTTTTTGGACCCTGACCCCGCGGATCTGCGTGAGGGGTGGCACCGAATTTCAGAAATGTGGCAAATCCCCTGTGTTTTTGGACCCTGACCCCGCGGATCTGCGTGAGGGGTGGCACCGAATTTCAGAAATGTGGCAAATCCCCTGTGTTTTTGGACCCTGACCCCGCGGATCTGCGTGAGGGGTGGCACCGAATTTCAGAAATGTGGCAAATCCCATGTGTTTTTGGACCCTGACCCCGCGGATCTGCGTGAGGGGTGGCACCGAATTTCAGAAATGTGGCAAATCCCCTGTGTTTTTGGACCCTGACCCCGCGGATCTGCGTGAGGGGTGGCACCGAATTTCAGAAATGTGGCAAATCCCTGTGTTTTTGGACCCTGACCCCGCGGATCTGCGTGAGGGGTGGCACCGAATTTCAGAAATGTGGCAAATCCCCTGTGTTTTTGGACCCTGACCCCGCGGATCTGCGTGAGGGGTGTCGATTTCGAGCCCCCCCAGCAATTCAGACAACGCGCCCAGGGGGTGCCTGGTGGCCCCACAAGGGGGCCGGCGGATCTGAAATGGCTTTGTTTCTCCGCTCAATCGCGCCCCAGAGACCCTGGAGGGGCTCAGGAGGGACCCAGAGGAGCCCAAGACGGCCCCCGAGGCCCCGAAGGCGCCCCTAAGACGGGCCCAAGAGGGTTCCGAGTAGGCCCCAGATGCCTCCATGTTTCGAAAAGGCCCACAGAGGACACAACAGCTATAGCGCTGATTGCATTGACTGGGCCCCAAAGGGCCCCCAAGAGGGCCGCGAGAGGCCTCCGAGAGGTCCCCAAGAGACTTCCAAGAGTGCTCCAAGAGGCTCCAGGATGGCTCCAAGAAGCTTCTTGGAGGCGCCCGGGGAGCCCACCCCACTGGTCTGCCGTGCTGGTCCGCCGTGCTGGTCTGTCGTGCTGGTCTGGTCGGCCGTGCTTGTATGCTGTACTGGGCTGCCGTGCTGGTAGGCATTTGGCTCGCCCATGCCCTCTCACTCCATGTGTGTCTCGCTCCCAGTCTGCCTCGTGCGCGCCGTGTCTCGGCCTCGTGCCCCGGCCATGTGAGCACCATGGCTTGCGCGAGGAGGGCGAGCCTTGCGCCGTGGGGTGGGGGGAGCGGGAGGGGCAAGCGGCAAACCTCGCAGGCCTAGAGGTTGACACCAACACCAAGATCGGCGGTGTGCCTCCACCGAGGGAAGAGGATCCCGATCTCGGTGATGGTGGTAATATTCTGGCTTCCAAGGTGACAGAACTGTTGCCACCAACACCGAAATCCAGGATCCTCTTTCCCCTGTGGAGGCAAACCCCTGTGTTGGTGTTGGTGCCCATTTCCAGGCCTCCAAAAACCCGTTCCCGAAGGGGGAGAGGGGGGGGGGAGGAGGAGGAGGAGGAGGAGGAGGAGGAGGGGGAGGGGGAGGAGGAGGAGAGGAGGAGGAGGAGGAGGAGGAGGAGGAGGAGGAGGAGGAGGAGGAGGAGGAGGAGGAGGAGGAGGAGGAGGAGGAGGAGGAGGAGGAGGAGGAGGGTGGAAGAGGAAGCAGCGGCATCGGGTGCCTGTCCGCCCCCCTCCGCAGGCGCGCGCTCGGGGCCCGGGAGCGGGCCCTCGGCCTCCTGGACCCCGCGGCCCTAGGGTGCGCCGCCCGGCTGGCGGAGGCGCTGTCCGGCATGGGCGAGTACGACGAGGCGAGGCAGCTGCAGGAGCTCGGAGGAGGCAGAGGCATCGTCGCAGGCCGAGAGATTGACACCCAACACCAATATCGGCGGCGTGCCTCCACCGAGGGAGGAGGATCCCGATCTCGGTGACGGTGGTAATATTCTGGCTTCCAAGGTGGCCGAAATATTGCCGCCAACACCGAAATCTGGGATCGTCTTCCCCCTGTGGAGGCAACCCCCTGTGTTGGTGTTGGTGCCCATTTCTAGGCCTCCAACATCGGTACCGACGCGTTTCGTGTGGCGGCCTCGCATCCTCGATCGTTCTGGGGCTCACGCAGCACCGCCGACCCCTTGGGGAGCTTGCACGTTGCCGCGTGCTGCTCCTGAGGGCCTTGTGCGCTTTTGGGGGGCTTCTTGGAGCTCTTTGGGGGCTTCACGGGGGCCTCTTGGGGGCCTTTTCGGGGCATCTTGGGCTGACGTTCTCAGTATTCGCTGTGCACGCATGGGGAAACGGGCGAGAGCTCACGTATACAGACCGCAGCCATCTGTCAAATCACCCGAATAATGATTATCGAAGACGCCTACGGCGAATCACCGCCGCCCCCTGCCTTTTTGGAATCGCCTATGTGGCCGAACGTTGAGGCCAGACCTGCCAAGCTATCGGACCATGTGTTCCCCGAATCGGTTTGAAAGCATTCGGGGAACACGTGGCCATCTTGAAGGTCATCTTGGCCGTCTGGAGGCCATTTTGACCCTTTCGGGCCTTCTTGGAGGATGTCTTGGAGGGCTCTTGGGCCATCTTGGAGGCCATCTTGAGCGTCTTGGAAACCTCTTGGGCCGTCTTGGAGGCCTCTTGGGGCCGTCTTGGGCCTCTTGGGCGATCTTTGGGGGCACTTGGGCCGTCTCGGGCCGTCGGAAGGCAGAAAAAGCGCAAGATGCCAAGATCCTTCAAACACCAGGTAAATCAATGCTTTTTGCCTTTTCGGGCCTTCCTGGAGGCCCTCTTGGAGGCCTCTTGGGCCGTCTTGGGCCATCTTAGGGCCATGTTCGGCCGTCTTGGTGGGCTCCTGGTCCGTCTGACGCCGTAGGAAGCCGATTGGGGGGCCTCTTTGGGCCGACTTGGGGTCCTCTTGGAGTGCTCCAGGGCCGTCTTGGAGGCCCATCTTGGGCGTCTTAAAGGCCTCCTGTGCCGTCTTTGTGCCCTCTTGGGGTCGTCTTGGGGCTCTCTTGGGCCGTTCTGGGGCCATCTTGGAGGCCTCTTGGGCGATCTTTCGGCGATCTTCGGGGGCTCTTGGGCCGTCTCGGGCCGTCGGAAGGCCGACAAGAAGCAAATGTCAAAATCCGTCAACAACCGTAGGAAAATCTATGTTTTGGGCCTCTTCTGGCTTTCCCGAAGGCCCTCTTGGAGGCCTCTTGGGCTGTCTTGGGCCAGCTTCGAGCCAACTTCGGCCATCTAGGTGGGTTCCTGGCACGTCTGACGCCGTCGGGAGCCGTCTTGGGGGCCTTTCTGGGCCGACTTGGGGCCCTCTTGGGGCGCTTCGGGGCCGTCTTGGAGGCCATCTTGGGCGTCTTGGAGGCCATCTTGGGCGTGTTGGAAGCCTCTTGGGCCGTCTTGGGGCCCTCTTGGGGCCGTCTTGGATGCCACTTGTGCCGTCATGGGGCCCTTTTGGGTGCCTCTTGGGCGATCTTGGGGGCCTCTTGGGCCGTCGGAAAGCCGAAAAGGCGCAAATGCCAAAATCCTTCAAAAACTTATGGGAAATCAACAATTTTGGCCCTTGCGGGCTTTCTTGAGGACGTCTTGGAGGGCTCTTGGGCCGTCTTGGAGGCCTCTCGCGGGCCTATTGGGCCGTCGTGGACCATCTTGAGGCCATCTTGGGCCGTTTTGGAGGCATCTTGGGGCCATCTTAGCCGTCTTGGAGGCAATCTTGGGCCGTCTTGGAGACGTCTTGGAGACCATCCTGAGCCATCTTGGTCGTCTTGGACGCCATCTTGGGCCAACTGGAGGAAACAGAGGCACGACGGATGCGTTTTGATCGCCTTTCCGGGTGGCCGGCGGGACGCGCCGGAGCCCCAGGGGGAGTTCTTTTTTGGAAAAAGAACCAAAACCAAAACCGAGAGGGTTTAACACGCCAGGCACCCCTTTGCTAAAGAAAAGGCGGCGGCGGATTGAAGACGCCTACGGCGAATCACCGCCGCCCCCTGCCTTTTTGGAAGCGCCTGTGTGGCCGAACGTTGAGGCCAGATCTGCCAAGCTATCGGACTATGTGTTGCCCGAATCGGTTTGGAAAGCATTCGGGGAACACGTGGGCATCTTGAAGGTCATCTTGGCCGTCTGGAGGCCATTTTGACCCTTTCGGGCCTTCTTGGAGGACGTCTTGGAGGGCTCTTGGGCCGTCTTGGAGGCCATCTTCAGCGTCTTGGAGGCCTCTTGGGCCGTCTTGGGGGCCTCTTGGGGCCGTCTTGGGCCTCTTAGGCGATCTTTGAGGGTACTTGGGCCGTCTCGGGCCGTCGGAAGGCGACAAAAAAGTAAATGCCACAATCCTTTAAAAACTCATGGGGAATCAATCATTTTGGCATTTTCGGGCCTTCCTGGAGGCCCTCTTGGAGGCCTCTTGGGCCGTCTTGGGCCATCTTAGGGTCATCTTCGGCCGTTTTGGTGGGCTCCTGGCCCGTCTGACGCCGTCGAAAGCCGTTCGGGGGGCCCCTTTGGGCAGACTTGGGGCCCTCTTGGAATGCTCCAGGGCCGTCTTGGAGGCCATTTTGGGCGTCTTACATGCCTCCTGGGCCGTCTTGGGTGCCTTTTGGGGCCGTCTTGCGGACCTCTTGGGCCGTTCTGGGGCCATCTTGGAGGCCTCTTGGGCGATCTTTCGGCGATCTTTGGGAGCTCTTGGGCCGTCTCGGGCCGTCGGAAGGCCGACAAGAAGCAAATGTCAAAATCCGTCAACAACCGTAGGAACATCTATGTTTTGGGCCTCTTCTGGCTTTCCTGAAGGCCCTCTTGGGGGCCTCTTGGGCTGTCTTGGGCCAGCTTCGAGCCAACTTCGGCCATCTTGGTGGGCTCCTGGCCCATCTGACGCCGTCGGAAGCCGTTCAGGGGGCCTCTCTGGGCCGACTTGGGGCCCTCTTGGGTGCTCCAGGGCTGCCTTAGAGGCCATCTTGGGCGTCCTGGAGGCCTCTTGGGTCGTCTTTGTGCCCTCTTGGGGCCGTCTTGGGGGCCTCTTGGGCAGTCCTGAGGCCATCTTGGAGGCCTCTTGGGCGCTGTGGGGGCGATCTTGGGGGCCTCTTGGGCCGTCTTGGGTCGTCGGAAAGCCGAACAGGAGCAAATACGAACAATAGGTAAAAACCGAAGGAACATCAATGATTTTAGCCTCTTCGGGCCCTCCTGGAGGACCTCTTGGAGGCCTCCTGAGCCGTCTTGGAGGCCTCTTGGGCACCTCTTGGGCCGTCTTGGACCGTCTTGGAGGTTTCTTGGGCGGACTTGGAGGCATCTCCTCCTCTCTTGGGCGGACTTGGAGGCCATCTTGGGCCATATTGGATGCCATATTGGGCCATCTTGGCCGTCTTGGAGGCCATCTTGGCCGTCTTGGAGGCCTCTTGGGGCCCTCTTGGGGCCGTCTTGGGGGCCATCCTGGGCTGTCTTGGAGACGTCTTGGAGACCATCCTGGGCCATCTTGGCCGTCTTGGGGGCCATCTTGGCCGTCTTGGAACCCTCTGGGGGCCCTCCTGGGGCCGTCTTGGGGGCCTGTTGGGCCGTCTGGGGCCATCTCGGAAGCCTCGTAGGCGATCTTGGGGCGATCTTGGGGGCCTCTTGGGCCGTCTTGAGCCGTCGGAATGCGGAAAAGAGACACATTCCAAATTCCTTCAACAACCAAATCATATCAATGATCCGTAAGGGCTTCGCCCCCTGCCGCCGGCCCCCTCTCTCGGAGAATGGGCCATGGAAGAGCTAAGTCATGAGGCCTTGGCGCTGTCGTGAAGCAGTATCGAAACTTCATGCGAAGCCGATTCGCAATCAGCAAAACCAACTGATCACAAGAGGGGTTACCACACCTGGCGATTGGTAAGACGTGTATGGTTTACGGGCTTGGTTACCACACCTTGCGATTAAAGGGCCGAGGGAGTTCTCGCAGTTTGGGTTACCACGCCTTGCGATGGATGTGCGTGAAGGGTGGCACCGAATTTCAGAAATGTGGCAAATCCCCTGTGTTTTTGGACCCTGACCCCGCGGATCTGCGTGAGGGGTGGCACCGAATTTCAGAAATGTGGCAAATCCCCTGTGTTTTTGGACCCTGACCCCGCGGATCTGCGTGAGGGGTGGCACCGAATTTCAGAAATGTGGCAAATCCCATGTGTTTTTGGACCCTGACCCCGCGGATCTGCGTGAGGGGTGGCACCGAATTTCAGAAATGTGGCAAATCCCATGTGTTTTTGGACCCTGACCCCGCGGATCTGCGTGAGGGGTGGCACCGAATTTCAGAAATGTGGCAAATCCCATGTGTTTTTGGACCCTGACCCCGCGGATCTGCGTGAGGGGTGGCACCGAATTTCAGAAATGTGGCAAATCCCCTGTGTTTTTGGACCCTGACCCCGCGGATCTGCGTGAGGGGTGGCACCGAATTTCAGAAATGTGGCAAATCCCCTGTGTTTTTGGACCCTGACCCCGCGGATCTGCGTGAGGGGTGGCACCGAATTTCAGAAATGTGGCAAATCGCATGTGTTTTTGGACCCTGACCCCGCGGATCTGCGTGAGGGGTGGCAGCGAATTTCAGAAATGTGGCAAATCCCACGTGTTTTTGGACCCTGACCCCGCGGATCTGCGTGAGGGGTGTCGACTTCGAGCCCCCCAGCAATTCAGACAACGCGCCCAGGGGGTGCTAAAAAGCCGGTTTGGGTCTCCCCCCCCTCGCGCGGTCAATCAATTAGTTACAGTAACCAGCAATAAGTCAACTAGTTACAGTAACCAGCAAGAAGCAGAACTGTAACACTGGAAACTACAACCTACGACTGGTACAGGAAACTGCGAATCACGGGCCTGCAGCCTGGTG